TTTTTGGCAGGCAGGCAGGCATCACGGTCAACAAGAGCTCTGTTAGATTTAGAGGTAGAAGACAGAGTTATCTTTGTAGGCGTTCCTCTAACAAGAGAGGCACGAGCTCCCTTTCTGAACATCAGTGTTAGTATGCTGAGGTTTGTTTAGTCCTTCCAAAGAATGTTAAGCATACAGCAGGACCATCCTATTAGTAAAATCCCTTGAAATGCCCATATACTGATTAGTCCTAAGAGTAGCCTCTTTCTACATGCTTGAGCCATTATTTATGGTATCATAACAGGGAGTTCTCTAAAATCTCCCTCTGCAACATTTCACTAATTTATGCAAATACACAAAACCATAAAACCTGTGCTCTCCTTCATTTCTATTCTCGATCAAGGTATTAGCAGCACTATCATACTCTGTTGGTGTCATTTATGTCATTACAAAAGCTGCCAGTTACAATGCCACTTCCTCACCTCTGCATTTTCCTATATGGTTCTACAAGTATGTGTTACAGTTCGTATTCACTGGGAAACTCCATCTGTCAGATATGCCTGTCACAGCAGGCTCTCGACTACCACATGACTTAACTGCTCCATTTTTGCTTAAGTTTCACTCTGATAATCAAGACTTGTACTTCTGGCTACCGTTTCTTCCTCTCATTGACACCTCAGTTTTCCAAAAACACCACTGTTCTCAACCCTTACACATTTTTGTTACAACGGTAGCATTTGGTTTTGCCTCTACAGGACTCACAGTTACCATATTAAATATCACATATCTCTAGCAGATTTTTTTCTTTTTGAACAAGTACTCCCTGACTTTGGCAGCTCTCCACTCAATATTTGGAATAGTTTAATGTAAACTAAAACTAACTAACTTTAAACTGTACCTCAAATAGTACACTCAAGGACTCCTCTTTTTGTGACCTTCCAGTCCACACATTGATACCGAGGTCTGCCTTATCTAGTTGATTCTTCAGAAAGGGAAATAAAGTACAAGATACTGGCAAAGAACTTGACTTTGTTCTTTCCCTGCTCAGTCAAAACCTACTTCAGTTTCTACAGGCAACCTACTAAAAATCTCCTTAGGAAACCTGCACTGGTTAATACTGCAACAACAGTGTGTATCCCAGCATCATGAGAAACACATACTAAAGCTTCATAACAGCACCATAGTTATGCATTCACAGCAATGAGTACTGAGAGTATACGACTGTACACAGCTCTAAAAAAACAAACAAACAAACAAAAAAAACCCCAGCCCTTCTACCTCTATTAATCCAGAACTAAAGTACCTCAGTCTTCACCAACTGGCTCTTACTTTAATTGAAATTGCTAACTTAATACCGTTCTAAAGATCACATTTTACAATGAACTACTGAAATGTGACTCATGAGGTGTTCTTCCCATCAGGTTTTTAGACACAGTGATAAAATCCCCACTGAGCCTGCTCTTCTCCAGGCTACAAAATCCTGGCTCTCTCAGCTTCTCCTCATATGCCAGATATTCCAGTCCCTTAATTTCCTTCACGGCCCTCCGATGGACTTGATCCAGTATGTCCCCATCCTTCTTATACTGGGGAGCCCAGAACTGGACACAGCACTCCAGATGTGGCCTCATCAGGGCTGAGTAGAAGGGAAAAATCACCTCGTTCGAGCTGCTGGCTATGCTCTTCCTAATGCAACCCAGGATATCATCGGCCCTCTTTGCTGCAAGTGCACATTGCTGGCTCATTGAACTGCTGTTCAATTCAGCGTCCGCCAGGACCCCCCAAGTCCTTTTATGCCAAGCTGCTCTCCAGCTAGTCGCTCCCCCCGCCCCCAGCTCTGTACTGGGGCAAGGGGTTCTTCCTCCTCAGGTGCAGGGCTTCTGCATTTCCCTTTGTTGAGCTTCAAGAGGTTACTGTCTGCCCATTTCCCCAGGCTGTCACAGTCCTTCTGAATGGCAGCACAACCATGTGGTCTCTCAATCACTCCTCCCAGTTATTTATTTATTTATTTTTAATCTTCTGCTCCCCTCTTCTACATCCTCTTTTCCTTCCCAGGAAAGGAACAATGGCTCCAAACTCCTACCTTGGCTTCCATGCCTCCCATTCCTACTCGGGATTTGGTTCCAAACGTCACAGACTGCTGGTCTCCCGGGTAGAATATGTCAATGAGCTTTGCATCATCAGATCCAGGAGGGCTGTCAAAGAGTCCTAAAATAAACAATAAAAATCTGCTAGCATTACGTACCCTCAGCTTTGCAGTTCAAGGAGAAGCTCTAGGGAAACTGAAAAGCTGTACTCTGTTTCACAGGATGGAAAATTTTCAAGTCCCACAAAAAGCAGGGGTCAGTGAAAGTGTGCAACACTAGTAGGCTGGCTGAACAAGAATCAGTTATGCTTTCGGTAAAGTTATATCTCAAGGGGAAACAGAACACCCATACTGAATAACAGCATGCAAGCTGGAAGTACTGACATTAGCGTGAGGGTAGAGGGAAAGCTGGAAACAAGTTTACAGCTCTTGTATGTCCTAAATCGGGACCTACATACACGAGTACACAGTCAAACAGGAAAAAAGATAGTCTTCCTCACCAAAATCTCAGCTGATATGCCTGAATTCTCGCTTGTAGAATGATAAACTGAGCAATGTAGAAATATGTAAAAAGATTCTGCTAAGAAGGAACCCTTCGTAGTTAAAAGTAATAATTTTATGTAACAATGCTCTGAGCTGAACGATCCTTTCGCTTACCCAACACATAAACCCTGAACTACCACCACGTTTCCCAGAAATTCTACATGAACAGACACTGATGTTATGAATTGGAGCACACAAGTGCAGACTACCTGCGCTCTTCCTTTATAGCTGAGGAAGGGCAGGACACATCTTTCTATGAGCAACACACCACACTAGAAGAGAAGTTGTTTCGCTTATTGCTTTTATTAATTGTTCTCAGAGTCATTTTGACTAGAGACAGTCAAATCCAAATGAACCTGCTAGAAGGAACTGTTTATGGAAAGGTATCCCCTTCCTCCTCAGGACCTATGACATGGGCTGAAGACCAGGATCCACTGAAGCTTGGATGCAGATCTAACTGTAAAGAAACACTTCTGGAAAAGGTGAAAAGATTACATGACTTCGATGATGCGGAGGTAAGAGCAAACTGCACCCCCTTTTGAGCATCAAGAGATGGCTGACTGGCTTCACAGCAGCACAGGTCACAAGACCAAAACGGTACCAGCCAAATATCTGGAGACAGAAAAGCTAGCAAGCTCCAGACTTCTGGAAAGTAACGTCCAGGGCGTCTAAGGTACTTGTAACTCACAGAGAGACAGAACCTGCTGCCAGAAGAAAACTATTTAGCGTTTGGATTATGCTCCTAATTCTAAACACATAGCCCTTGTCATGCACGCTACTCATGACTACATCATAAAATCCTGAGTAGCTAGCAGAAGAACCATAGCGCATAGCTTGGCTTCTGGAACAAGTCTCAAGTTCACATGCATTCTCACCTGCCCAGACTCAATGATGTGGCAGACAAGTCTTTGGCTCATGCAACAACATCAGGTATACGCCTTAAGGAGCTATGTGGTACATTATAACTGTCACTGTAGAAGGTGTGAACTGAAGAGATCAGCAAAACTCAAGTGTAAGTTGCTTCTACTATCTGTTGGACTTCAAGGTCCATTTTTTTCCCACCAAGGGTTGCTATCTATCTGATACCCAAAGCAACGCAAGGCCTCTCTGACTTAGAGAGGTGTGCTCAGGCCTGACTCCAAAGAGCTCTTCTACATGTCATTTCCTTGACAGTAAAAAGAGCAGAGTACAGATTGTCTTGATCAAAGAAGGTAAAGAAATGGTTCACAAACCTTCTACATCTGAGAGAACAATCAGGAGATCAGTCTTCATTTCCACAGCTAGTCGTGCTGCCAGACTATCATTATCCTTCACACTAATCACCTGGAACGTGTATGCAGATCAGCAACACAACATAAGGGGGAGGAACTAGGAAGTATGTAGCCATAACATACATAAAAACAAGCTCCATCAGCACTGCCAAGCCCTTATAAGCTGCTTTGCTCACACTCCGCTGAAAACTCTTAGGAATTGATCTTCATACGAAAGCAAATACCCTTTTGGAATGCAGCAAAGCAGCATGAAAACAAGAGATAACAGGAGCAGCGCCCGCATTCTCCACCTTGGTGCCCAGTGACAGGACAAGAGGCAACGGGCACAAACTGAAACACAGGAAATCCCACCTGAACATAAGAAAAAAAAAAAACCCCAAACAAACAAACAAAAGAACTTTTTTACTATGAGGGTGGTCAAACACTGAAGGGGTTGCCAAGAGAAGCTGTGGAGACTACATCCTTGGAGATATTCAGAACCCAACTGGCCAATGTCCTGAGCAACCTGTTCTAGCTGACCCTGCTTTGAGCAGGGAGGTTGGCTAGATAATCCACATTACTAATCTCTCATATTTGCTTCCCTGCTGCAGATTTCACAGGTCCCAGATTATGGTATTAGTAAACCATGCATTAATGCTGTACCATCTACAAACTATATCCACCCCCTTGCAATACTTTACCCACATTTACCCCCTGCAGATCACTATTTGGCTCTGGAGGTGGAACAACAGCATCATTCGTGTTAATTATAGGGACGATATTCATTCTTAAAAGTTCATGCAAGGTTCCGTTTAAGTTCCGACGCTTCTGTTCATCATGGAAATCCAAGTTGGTGACTAAAATCTGAAAGGAGGGGGAAGAAAAAAATTAATACCTGCCCCCTTCCCTGATAAGAAGGACATAACAACATGTATTAAAGTATCGTAACAGCTCAGCCAAGCCCCCTGGGTCACCACACAAAACACAAGCTACAGTTAAAGGATAGAGAACGCAAGTGAGAAATATTCTTTCCACATTTTCAGGTGTATATGCATTAACTTCCACTGGAACCTATAATGGCCTTTCTCAAGTAGACAGATCACAGTCTCCAGGAAACAACTTAGGGGGGAAAAAAAAAAGTAGTAGAACACAGATGTTGATGATAACCCTTAAGACCTAAATAATTTGGGAGGAGATTACTTATAACATTGCCTTTCTTCTTTTCTCTCCTAGTATAACATCTCTATACTGTTGCAATCGGAAGGGATGCTTTGTCTCAAGACTTCTCTTCAGCTCTAAAACTCACTTGCTTTTCTGGAAGAATCTTGCTTTTAAGGCTTCCTGTATGCAGAACCTTCCCCCCCCCCGCCCCTTTTCTTTTTGGTATTTTAAATCACAACAGCTTGATGCCTATTTTGAAGAGAGATATTCTTCATTTTTACTTTGCAGTTTTACATTTGAGAACCAACCAAACACATCTATCATGAAAACACTAGAATATCACTTAGCCTCAGTGAAAACTGTCTTTTTTTGTGAAAGAAGTTAAATTGTTTTAAACCCAACAATGAGAGTCATCTACAGTCTTGAACAAGATTATAATCCAGTGCAATCTATGGTAATTGTTAGCTATACTGGAAGCATTTTAGTTATATCAGCCGTACTGTATGATAGTAAGAAGTTCCTCCAAGTGACGACTTTACAGTATGCTCTTAAATTCATTAAAAGTGTTTACACAAGTAACAGAGCTGCATCAACTGTAAAGCCTTCACAGAGTACTTCAGATAAGCACAGTCTGTTGTCTTACAGTAGCTTAATACACAGAGTTGCAGCATTCAGCGGAGAGAGACCCAGACTAGGTGTACCACCAGCTACTAGTTAGGTGTGAGGAACAGATGGACAGCAAGTCCTAAAGTACGGATATGCACTTCTGTCAGCTTTACAGAATGTGGGCCAGTTCAGCCAGTTGTGATTTTTAAAGCCTCACTTCGGATCACCAACTTTCTCTTTATACTTTTTCTGAGAAGAGCTTAATAGGAAAAAAAAAAAAAAAAAAAAAAAGGACATAAACCACACACAAACTCCAAAAACATAAAGCATTGTCGGTCCACTTAGTATGAACTAGCAATTATGCTACAATAACAAGCCTCAAAAGTAGGACAGTGGGACAGGATAATAAAGACAGCAGCATACGAAACTTGGAAAAAATTAATAGCAATTATAGCACTGACTGAAGCATCAAGTCAGTCTGGGAAAGAAGGAATCTCTTACTTGAGCTGCGCAGATGCTGTACTGCGTAAACATGGCCTCATACAGAGCCATGAGTCCACTCTGGCCAGCTGCTGCACAGGCTCGGGCCTCCAAGACTGGAATAGCCTACAAAGATAAGAGAACAGCTGTCAGGCAGTGACTCAAGCAGGTTCCACCCAACATTCAAGGAGAAAAAGGGACTGCTGCAGCCACTCACCATATCTTTTAGCTGGCTCTGGCCTGAATGAAGTGCTTGCCTCACACTCTGAGAAAGCAAGATCTCATGACGCAACCGCTGTTTTCCAAAAGCTACAGCTCCACTGGTGACAATCATCATCTCTCGGCCCTGATTCTGCAGCATTGACACCTGTAAGCACAGAGCACGAGAAATAAAACCTGGAGCAAGACCACTCCTAGTCTCACAACTCCGCGTGTTTTACAGATATGTTATGCTCACTGGTTCCCGCTGACAAAAGCGTCTACTTATCCATGGATACGCACAGCAAGGCAACCACCCTTTAAGATACTCCTGCACACCTTCCTGACCAGTTATAGCTACAGCCTGTGCTAAACTCTCTTTTCACAATACCAGTTTTTATGATGGAGTCATGCTTGAATTTTCACAATATCCATTACATGGTAACATTTCTACAGCTTTTAAAACCCTCCATTTCTACTGCAGAACATAGAGAAAAGCCATATAGTAGCAGCTTCCTCCAACTTTCTTATTCACTATCCATTCCCAGGGCTGTTAACATACAGTAACTTTATGTACTAGAAGTGAAGAAGCTAACTCCAATAGTGAACAAAAAGTTTGGTATTGCTCCTTCCAGAAGGGTAAGTGGCCATGGTTCCTTTTAAAACTCAAAAGCTCAGTGTCTTAGGTGAATTTAATTTTTTATGCACCTTTCTTCCCAGAGGAGACATATCCAACTCCCTCATCCTCTCTGCAAGGTCTTTGTTTCATTTTGTGCAGCAGAACAAGTCTATGAGTTGATCCCATCAGCTTTTCCTACAAGCAATAAGGTTTCAAGCCCTCTCTTAAAGGAAATTTGCAAACGTTCAGGTAATCGAGAAGGCTCCACTCTTTCTGCAGACCTAACATTAAAGTGCCACTTTCCCACAAGATCAAACTAGTGCCCGAGTCATATCTTACTGCATAAAAATCACACTGTGCGGAATTTCTTCCTCAAACACTGATTTATTGAGTTACACGGTCTACACTACCGCGGCACGTGGTGATAGAGAAGGAAAAGCTCAGAATACTGATCTATACAGGCCACTATTGCTTTATGAATGTTTCCAACAATTATCAAGTACTGAAGTGAAAACAAACATTCCACTTCAGTCCAGAATTACCTGCTCCACAATAGATGCCAGCCTCCCAAGAGCCAAGCCACACTCATCTCCTCGAGTCACAACAGCACTACCCAGCTTCACTACAATCCGCTTTGCATGTTTCAGCTCGCTGCGGTGTGCAAATGATTTGCCATGTGCACGGCTGAGTGGCACAGTGATAAACGGGATGTTGCTCCAACAACGGATGGATTCATTTCTTAATCTCTGGGTACGGTGAGGGAGATCTGTGATTAAAGGACAAAAAGGAAAAATGCATTAGAAACTTGCCCAATCAGTTTTAAGTGCTTCATTCAGACTTCTGAGCCCTTTATAAGCCACATAACACCTCCTCCCTTCCCACAGCTGAAGCTCACAATACATACTTCTACTTCTCAGTGATGGGGAACGAGAATTCATCTTTCAAGTCACTGAAGAAAAAACGAAGACCAATAATTTCTGAGCAGTGCTAACCATCCCTAAGACATAGAAGGGAATATCCCATGAGTCACAGAGCTTTGAGCCTGGGACTCTAGAAGACCAAACTCAAGGGCACTGTAAAAGAGCCCATACAGCTTACATCAGAAACAAGAGTGCTAGCTTTAAAAAACACTCACCCTTGCTTATTAGGTACAGCTAGAGTTCTGTCGGTAGTGCTGTAGAAGCACTTGACTGCTGGGGGCGGGGGAGCTGAGCTGAGCTTTTACAAAGCTGTATTACGGTCAGATATTTTCTCACACTGCTCAACTCAGGTAGCAGAAGGAAGAGATGGATGACCAACATAAGAACTGCTAGTTGCCTCCCTACAGGATAAACAGGCACTGAAGCACCGACAGTCACAGCGCTACTCAGGCGGAGCACAAGATGCCCAAGGCTGTAATCTCACTTAAAACACTGAGGAGGCAATGTCTGTGCAAAATCTGTGCTTTCAAAAAGCCTGCAAAGGACAGTAGAGACAAGCCAGTCTACTATTAGAGCCCAGCAGATTAGAGACAATAGTGACCGTTAAGGTATAACTGCAAGGAACACTCTAGATCCATTCTAATTAACAAAGAGGTTGGATCAAACACATACAAGTCCCAAAATTAAGCTGAAGGTATGAGGGCAGTTGGGAAGCACTTTCAATACGCTTAAGATAAAATTTTGCAGAGGCACAGTGAATTGAGTCTGAAGAGGGAGTGACGCAGGTAGGGTTACTCACAGTCACAAAACGCGTCTAATGATATAAGACTCAATAAGCTATTTTACTTCAAAGGTTTTTTTGAAACTATGTTGCCTTATCCTCCATCTAGTTCTTTTCACATTACCATTCAGAATCTACATTAAACCAGGTCAACTTCTAGACAGTCTCAAAAATATCAGTATTGCAAGAAAGAGAACAGTTGGGAAGTTACTAAAGAAACGGCTACAACGCTACAGCATAGGACCAAAAGTGCATCCTAGTCAGAAGATGGCACAGATACAATCCTGACCAATATCATCTCCGAAGATGTACAGACTCCTTTACAAATCAATGAATTGAATCCTATGCCCTAGTCAGATGTTATCCGATTTTGTCTGTTCAGTCTCTGTAATTTTTACGTTCTATAATGTAAGACAGAGCCATTTATAAATTAAACGAGCGTTCTGGATGTTACTTCTCCTGGAATACAAGAGGAAAGAACACACTGCTACAGAAAAGGGAAGCCAGGCATTTATTTCTGTAAAACATGGTTAAATCTATTTCCTTCACTATACACAGAAGAACCTTAACTAGTTAATCATAAGCGAGGGCTGCATTAAGGTGTCGGTTTTATATGGAGTAGAAAATATAATTTGGAGATTAGTTTTATTTGCCCCTCATTTACTTGTGAATGTAAAGAAGGCCTATAATAAATAGGAAAGAACAGGTAGCAGAATTAAATGGAATAGTTCTTTCCAACATTAAATGTTACCATGCACTATTTGCCTACCCTACACAGCATGCACAGAATGGAGTAAAACAGCTTAAGTGTTTCCAGTTCTCTCAGCTAGAGCTCTAGGGCTTAAAGGGTTCCAAGGTGGCAGCTACTGAGAGACAAACAGTATCTGAAAGAAACCACTTATTTTTCAGAAAAGCAAAGAGAAAGGCAACAGTTCTGGAACAAACAGATACTTCCATTCGTCTCCACTAAAGTTACAACTGCTAAACTGGCCTACCACTGTACAAACCTGTCTTTTTTAGTTATTTTAGACTGCAGTGAGAGAGAAAAAACAGCTCCAAGGTTATACATACAAAACATTTCTGATGGGGCAGCTCCAGGAATTTGTTTTACACAGAATTAGGGAGAACGCGATATGGTCATTCAGTCAACTTTTCAGTCAAACAGGTTTTTAAGTATTCCAGTTTTTCATACCCAGTACCTTGCCAACAGTTTTAATTCTTTAATAAAGAAGGGAAAATATAAACGCAGGAGATGTTTGGCGCTGCAGATCCTTTTATGCAACCTGCATGAGGGTTGCCTCTCAGGAGTGAAGATGCCGAATTTTAAAATGCACTTGAGCTGACCAGGATCACAGCAGAAACAGCAAAGAGCAAAACAAAACTGATCATTCTTAAACCAGCTTTAGCATGCAACTGATGGAGCAACCAAAGTTGCTCCAATACTGGCTACTGACTACTGTCAGTTGTTCCAGAGCTGAGGAACAATTTTCACCATGTCAAGGTTAACTCTTGGAGAATTTTACTGACTTTGGAAAACATAGTACATTAAGAAATACTACAAATGTAGAAGCCAACTGAGCTATAGCTCAGAAAAAGAAGATCAAGATGTAAGATTTCATTATTTAATGATTCATATAAAGACTAACAAAACAGAACTATTGTGTTAACACACGGACCAATGGGAAATGAATGAAGCTTGCATGCAGTGGTAAACAGTTAGTATTTTTATCCCAGTGACTTCACCAGATCAAGAGGGAATCCATCTAGCCCTGCATGCTCTGTTTCAGTCTGCTAATCATACAGAGTGAAGGCCTCTCTCAAATTAGGATTTCGTAGCAGAATATGGAACAATAAAAATGTCATATTCCTAACCACTGTCCACAGGACACCTATGTGTTTATGCTCAGGTTTCCTGCAAGTGTCTTTGCACTTTTGTCTAACCCAAACAAATCTGAGCTTCTCATCTTCCAATACCTGTTTTACTCAAGACAGCTGTGGGCTGGAAATCGGAATGGGGGAAGAGGACATCATCAGATCCTGCTTTCCAGGAACGTAGCAGGTTGAAACATAAAGAACTTTTACAGTAAGAGTCCTTTTACACCAGAATTCTTTGATAACAATACATGCCAGAATGAGAAATACACCCTCTCAGACATCTGCCTGAGTATTACTGAGTTCAGGGAGAGACTAACAGTAAGAGAGCAGAACTTCATCGGCAGCTCACTCCAAAACCTGTAAGCTCTGAATGAAGTTACCGAGGGAATTTTCCTGTCATTATAGGAAAGAACATAAGGCATGCTCGGGCACATACTGACCAACATTATTAGAAACATGTGCTTTCTCTCATACATACACAAACGGGAAATGGCTGCGATGGCATGTGGTGATAACACAAAGCACCTTCCAGGGGAACGGACAAGAGGGCTCAGAGCAGCTCGACACAACATTTTGAGACGTCTTCTGCAAATCAAGGATATCTGCAAGTTAAAAGGGGGACGGGAGGGAGGGAGGGAGAAAACTGGTTAATTATCAGTGAACTTCCATCCATAATCTCTCTCTGTCCCCCACACCCCCCTCCCTATATCCAGAAGGACTCTTCACAGTCTTCATGCAGTCTCCCTGTGCAAGGGACAGCCCACTCTGAGTTTTGCAGAATTCTCAGGCTGTAATTCAGAGGAGCTGTAAGGCCTGTGTTCCCCACCTGCTTCCAGAAGATTAATAATAAAGATCAAGAACAAAACATGCTTCCCCCAAAAAAGGAAAAGAAGGACTATTAGTGAGCGCTGCTGCAATGAAGAGAAGTCAAAACCTTCTCCACAGAGAAGCCTAGAGGAAAAAAAATTCTGAAGAGAAGTTGCAACACCCCGACTTCTCCAGACGCTCCACAGCGGATCATCTACTACCCAGAAATCTCAGCCCTATTGAATACACAAGATATGCTGGCTCACTTAGAGAGTCAAGACTCTCTTCTCCCAACCACTCGTATGATCTCAGTTGCTCTCAGTTTGGCAGATACTATTTAAGCCCTCAGAAACCACACCTGGTTCAGAAAGGCCCTATGCAAAAAGTGGCTGGAGGTTGGGACAACACACTGGGAAGCACTTTAAATGCCTGCTCTGTCTTACAGTCTTTCACAGACATGCACTTTGAACAACTGTAAGAAGCTGACCACATTACAGCGATCCTTTGGCATGACCCACTAAACCTGTTCTTATGTTAAATCCAGCTTCAAAGACAAAACTCATCACTAGTGTAGCTGTTTCACAAGCATTAATAAGTTAATTTTCCCTGAACACTATAAAATGGTGTCACAGATGAGTGGCACATCGTCACAAACGGTAAGATATTAGCCCTGGTTACAAGTGAGGACACAGACATGCAGGACGTCACCTTCCACTTTATTTGGCATTACTGTTTCTGTTATCTGAGCTTGCAAGCACTCAAAATGCCTGCAACTCAAAATCCACTACCAGGTGCCCAGCAGAGGAGGGATACACAGTCAGCACAGGGTCTAGTTGAGGTGATGCATCCAGTATCACAAAGGAAACAACAGAGATGAGCAAAAAATTCAGTTTTCCTGGGCAATGCTTAAGCTATGAAGCCTCTCCTGCCATGAGCCCTCTCTTTTCCCTTTTACAAAATCTTGCTTTCATCACTTGCTTTCAATCCATCCCTCTGCACCAAAGGAACAGAGAGGTCACACAGGCAACATTGCACAAGCTGTGGCAGGGAGAAGATATTGAAGAGAAGACAAAGAGAACTCACAGTAACCATACTGAAAGACTGCTACTACAAATACCATGACAATTACAGCAACTGGCAGTTCCAGCACACATGTGCATGAACACCTGAAGTTGCTTCATTACCCTGCGTCGCTGCATTGTTACTGTGCCTCATTACAACCTTTACCAAAATATATATATCTCTGCATATGACAAGACAGCAACCAACAGACAGTGGCTCTTCTTTTTAGGCTGGTAAAGTTATATAGCATGGCATTATATCAACTCTAATTTACATTGCCCCTCCAGTTCTATATCCTTCCTAGGGCCCTCTCTGCCCTGTACCAGGCATTTCATGCAACTGTCTCCGGGCACAACAATTCCCCACTGCCCACATGTTTGGCTGTTTGTTTCTCCTACCTTGAAGTCCACCTCGGCATT